GGATCATTGTCTCGCTGGAATGTCCTCGTTTCATCTTCATCATCCTGGTAGATGGCAGCAGATTTTTATCAAGAATGTCTCAGTACATTTTTCCATTCATCCTTCCTTCAATTATATGAAATTTGCCAGTGCTACACCATGATGCTTTTGGGTGCCATTTGACCTCCAATCATGGTGTATTATGGCATCCAAAGAGTACAATGTTTGTCTCATCTGACATTTTCTTTGAAACAATTGTACATGCTAATTCCAGGTCTTTCTGAAGCTCTCCACAAGTGATCCTTGGCTCTTGGACAACTCTTCTGATAATTCTTTTCACTCCTCTGTCAGAAATCTTGCGAGGAGCACCTGGCCGTGGCCGGTTTATGGTGAAATTATGCAACAATATGGTTGCAAAGGTCTTGAGAAAGCTCTTTGCTTTTACCCATCATGAAATGTTTCTTGTGTGACACGTTGGTCATGAGACACCTTTTTATAGGCCATCAGTTGGGACTGAACCAACTAATATTAATTTTCCACTGACAAGGGGCAGTATTGCGTTCTAATTACTGATAGATTTCAGCTGGTGTCTTGGCTTTCCATGCCTTTTTGCACCTCCCTTTCTTCATGTGTTCAATACTTTTTCCCTGTGTCATTCCATTTTATTACACAGAACTTAATTCCTGAACTTATTTGTTTTGCTTTCTTCGTACACTCTCAGAAAAAAGAGGTACAAAAGCTGTCACTGGGCCAGTACCGTTTCAAAAGGTACACTATTGTACCTTTTAGGTACTAATATGTACACTTTAGGTACTTATATGTACCTTTAAGGTACCAATATGGACTGTTTAGGTACAAAGGTGTGCCGTTTGAAAAGGTACCGCCCCAGTGACAGTACCTTTGTACCTTTTATTCTGAGAGTGTATGTATGGATTACTTGGATTACTGACATCTGGTGAAAATTTCATGTCAACAGCACCTTTAGAAATATACTGAGAAAATTGGTGATGTGTTCAATACTTATTTTACCCGCTGTATATATACAGTATCTCACAGAAGTGAGTACACCCCTCACATTTTTGTAAATATTTTATTATATCTTTTCATGTGACAACACTGAAGAAATGACACTTTGCTACAATGTAAAGTAGTGAAGTGTTACGCTAGCTTTCACTGTTTGTTCTGCCTCTAAATAGTCCAATCAGCGTCGAGTTGCATTTTGTGTAGTACCGCCCCTTTTTGGGCGATTTATGTCAGACTGAGAATCGGCCTGAGTGCTCTCATAGGCTGTGTTCGAAATGGCATACTTGCTTACTGCTTAAGGGGAGTTAATGTAAATAGCCTCTGCCAACAAATTGGTCTATTTGTCCTTAGAGTAATACACTCCATTTCTTTTTAGAGCTGCTTGACAGTGGAATTGAATTCTGTTTGCATAATCGAAATATTTTTATTTATATAGTTTATTTATATATTATATTACTGCAATATAATTATTATTTAATATATTTGAAAGAATCTGTACTGTATAAAGCGCTATAAAGGTGACGTCATTTGATGATCGGAAATGTGCTGCCTATATAGACATAATAAAAAAAACTAATAAAATGACAACATGACTACAACTGTAACTAAAACTAAAATAGATAACTAATACAAATCAAAGTACATTAGTTCATCAGTAATCCTAAAAAAAACTATATAAAATAAAATAAAATAAAGATTGTTATAATCTATAACAATGTCAACTAAAATATGTCATATGACACACAGCAGCCACAAACAGATATAGGCTTATGTCTATATTGAAAAAAAACAACAACAAAAAAACAATAAAACCATCACAGAAAATTGTAATGATTTCCACAACAAATAACATTACAAACAATCAATTTTTAACCATTAAAACCATTAAAAATGGTTTTCTGTAGTGTGTTTTGGGACATATTCCATTAGGATTTATTGGTTTTAACAAGCCACCAATAGAAGGCAACCTATTACCAGTAGAGACCAACAGGGTCCATTACAGTTTCCAGTAAAACCAATACAAGTCCCGTTATAACCAGTAAAACCATTACATATAACTGTTTTATTCAGCGGGGGTTTTATTTTTATTTTTTTATATATTCCCAAAATATATAATGAAATATCTCGATTCTCAAATATGTGAAAGTAAATGCATTTTGCACCTTTATAGATTATGTTAGTTCTCCAGTAACGTAGCCTAATAGTATTAATCTATTAACTTTGCATAAAAATTCGTCTTTTTACTTAAGTACCAGATATAGTGTCATACTATTAAATATATTTAATACGACTGACTTTGTATTTAATGTGAAGTTAATAAAAACCCAATAATATTTAAAAACTATTTTGAATTTTAACAAGAAGAAAAAAATTAAAAACTACTTTAATATCTTTATCGAATGTGAAAAAAGAAAAAGAAAAAAGAAAAAAACAGAGAGACGGGGACAGCTACGCCAACTCAAATTCAGTTGTCAGTTGAACTTGATCGACATCTTGGCGAACGTTACCTCAGCGCAGATGAATTCTATCGTGTCATTGAAAGAAATACCATTCAGTCGTCGTAGCAATAAGGATAAATTGGCAATTAAATAATTAGGACCACCAAGACCAAATTTAAACAACAAACATGTATCAACAAAGGGCGAAGTTGTATAAACGGGGATTTTCGAGGACGTGGTATGAGCGGAAAAAATGGCTAGCGGGCTGCGAAGTAGCTAACGCTTTATTCTGCTACGTTACCCCTGCATTTTGTTCCATCCCGAGAGCGTGACGGACATCGCATGGACAACTACAGGTGTAATGTAATATAAGTGAGCAATGTGATGTAAGTTTTTTGAACATTAAAGCATGTCAACATATTCTGTTACACCAAATACACCAAATAATTATCTTTAAAAAAGCATCATATGACCCCTTTAATGTTAAAATAAGTGAATTATTTCGACCGACGTGCATGAAAGACACCATCCACCCCGCGATATCCATTTCATATCGGTGTCCTGTCCATTCTACCCGCTGATATTTCTATGCTACAAGATCAGTCGATTACACAGAGTGCACGCACACTTTCTTGTGTAGACCTATAGAAGAGAATTATTTCGACCGACGTGCGAAATACACCATCCACCCCGTGATATCCATTTCATATCGGTGTCCTGTCCATTCTACCCGCTGATATTTCTATGCTACAAGATCAGTCGATTACACAGAGTGCACGCACACTTTCTTGTGTAGACCTATAGGTTGTCTTCTTTACTGTTTAGATATTTAGATGTAAACATTTGTTTTGTGTTGGCTGTGGGTGGGCTATCCACATACAGTAGGCTATGTCTTATAACATGGGAGCCCTACAATCTAAAATATGATTTTAATCGAAAACGTGGTATAGGCCAGGGTTGCCAGGATTTCACAAGAAAACCCGCCCAATAGCTATCCAAAACTATCCCAATCGCGTTTCGAGGTTGTCCCCACGTTTACACGTTTTTTGGCGGGGTCCCCCTGCTAAAATTCGCATTCCAGGGGATAAATATCATGTTATTGGAGTCGCTTCAAACCGGCGGACATGAAAAAAACAACCCGGGCCAACAGAAGTAGCCCAATTCCTTGCCAACTTGGCAACACTGGTATAGGCTCAATCATGTTGCGTAATTAATTACCCAGAGATCCTCCTACAGATAAACCCCTCTTAAAGATACAAAGAGCTCGCGACTGCATCACACACCTTTCAAGAAACTAAAACACCTACAACACTTCATTACAGGTGAGAGTAATCCTGCGGAGAGACCTCATTCATTCATGCACTTACTAATCTACTAATTATAGGCATTTGGCTGACTAATGTTTACCCTAAGTATCCAACAGTTATAACTGGGACAGTCCTATCTATAGTCCTATGGGACAGTATTGTCTGAAATGTCTTGCTCAAAAGGGCTCAGGATTTTGAATCTGTAACTTTCATAACAGGCTTCACCACTGTTAATTGTTGTTAACTGAATATAATTGTTCTCATGTCATTATCTAGAGGCCAGCATGAAGAAGTTGCTTGTGGATGTGGACTGTGGTGTGGATGATGCTCAGGCTATCATGATGGCTTTGGCAGTGCCTGGTGTGCAGATCCTGGGCATCACCTGCGTTCAGGGCAACACTTCAGTAGAGAATGTCTGCAAGAACGTCCTGCGTGTCCTGAAAGTGTGTAAGCATCTGGAGGTGAGATGGTCCCATATGCCATATCACAATGAGATGGATATTTCTTTTGTATTGTGCAGTGATGCATTGTTCATTATACAATATTCATATTGATTTTGATATGGCAGTACTAGATGTGTAGACAATTTTCGTAAACAATTGATTGCAAGCTTTTTGATTCCAAAATCACATACTTCGGTATGATATGAATGTCTCCATACCCTTTGGTTGGAGAAGAGGTAGTATTTCCGGCAATGTTTTCATCACTTTGAAACTTGGATAAATTGGTGTATGAAATACTGGGGAACAAAAAGGAGGAAGACAGGGCTATACGGATGAGAAATTTCATGCTGCGAGTTTAAATGTGTAATTTGAACAGTAGCAATGTATTTATTTACTATTGTTGCAGTCATAAGTTTATATACACCTTGCAGAATCTGCAAAATGTTAATTTGAACAAAATAAGATCCTGGTAGAAATAGTGCAGAGTACTGTTATGTAGTGCATGACTGTCATTTCAGCATAATTATAAGACTTGCTTATCTATGAATGGGATAAACACTCAAGACTTGTGTTCATGATATAACAGAAATCAGAAACCTTACATTGTGATTTGAATTATCTGGTTTTCTGTATGTTCAGTATTACATATCCTCTTATAATTCTAATTGTTTGCAGAGATATTTTGAGCTAAATAACTCCAAGAATAACGTTACTTGCTGTAAAGTAATGCATTGTTGTCCAGTGCATGACGGCATACAGTGAATAGAAAACCTGATTGTGTCTCTGAATTGCTTTAGATTCCTGTATTCCGTGGAGCGACTAAAGCGCTCTTGGGACAGACCATCAGTGCTGGAGAATTTCATGGCAAAGATGGACTCGGGGACGCCCCGGACCCCAACGCTCCTGGTTTGGATCTGGTCCAGAAAGAGGACGCCGTGTCAGCCATGATCCGAATAGTCAATGAGAATCCTGGAGAGGTCTATATGATTATACGATATATTAGTGGAATTATCTTGCATTTCAAGTACTTTATCATGTGTTGTTCCTGTTTCTCTAAGGTGTCTTTAGTGGCCACGGCTCCGCTGACAAATGTGGCTTTGGCAGTGAAACTTGACCTCTCATTTCCCCAGAAACTCAGAGGCCTTTACATTATGGGTGGCAATACAGATTGTGAGTCACTAATACTTAAGGCTGGAATACACTACATGACTTTTAAAATCTGAACAGATTTTTAAAACACTAGGCATCATACACTTACCGACTTTGTAAACCGTGACAAAGGAAAGCTGGCCATCATACACTACATGTTTGAGGATCACACACTACCAGACCTTCAAGTCGTTCCGATCACAACAAACTGGTGTACGCCTTGTTGCTAGGAGACGCTTGACAAATGAAAACAACATATGTTTTAAAATCGTCTGAAAATACCAAACATGTTTGATCTCCTCCGACTGGATGGAATCAGAGTCTGAAGCTAAAAATTCAGAGTCTGTGACCATCATACACTATGCGATTTTCGGTGGCATCTGTCAACTCAAATCTGCAGACTGACTCTTACTTTCAGCAGCTAGCATCGATTTCTCCAGACTGTAAATCGATGGAAAATTGGGGCAAAAATCGTGTAGTGTATTGCAGGCTTTACTGTTTTATCAGAATAGGACTGGACAATATATCCAATATTAGAGCTGGTAGGTTTGATTCATTCCAGTGAATTAGTCTAAAGTGACCATTTAGATGAATGTTCAAATCTCTGAGTAAATCTTGAAGTCAGTGTTTCTTAAAAACAGACTTTTATCTGTTTGGCTGCAATGATGGCTCCTCTCAATGAAAATGAAAATGAATCTAAATGGTCACTTTAAAACTGACTCACTCAAAATAAATGTAAATTTAAGCCATACCAAAGCACAAATACAAATATAGATACGCACTATTGGTCAGACATTTAGAATATGATCCTTTTGTAGTGTATTGCAGGCTTTACTGTTTTATCAGAATAGGACTGGACAATATATCCAATATTAGAGCTGGTAGGTTTGATTCATTCCAGTGAATTAGTCTAAAGTGACCATTTAGATGAATGTTCAAATCTCTGAGTAAATCTTTAAGTCAGTGTTTCTTAAAAACAGACTTTTATCTGTTTGGCTGCAATGATGGCTCCTCTCAATGAAAATGAAAATGAATCTAAATGGTCACTTTAAAACTGATTCACTCAAAATAAATGTAAATTTAAGCCATACCAAAGCACAGATACAAATATAGATACGCACTATTGGTCAGACATTTAGAATAATTATGATCCTTTAATGTTTTAGAAAGAAGTCTCATGCTAAACAGGGCTGCATTTACTTAATCATAAACATGGTGAATCAGTAATATTGAGAAATATTATTTCAGTTTAAATTGAGTTTGTTTGCAACATATTTTAAAATGTATTTTATTCCTGCGATGACAAAACTGAATTTTCAGCATTGTTGCTCCAGTCTTCAGTGTCACATGATCCTTCAGAAATCATTCTGATATGCTGAAAAAACCTTATCTTATTATTAATCTTGAAAAAGCAACACAAGAAACTGTTGCTTAATATTTTTTGTGGAAACCCTGATAGATTTTTGTAATATTCTAAAGGTTTTTACTGCTAAGTTTGATCAATTTAATGCACCCTTGCTGAATTAAAGTATGCACTTCTATTTTTTAAATTATTCTTACCTCAAACTTTTGAATGGTTTTTAAATGGTTTATGCAAAAATATTAAACAGCACAACTATTTCAGCATTGATAATAATTACATTAATAACAAAATTACATTTAATTACAAATGACATTTACACAAAATATATTAAAATAGAAATTTTTATATTTCACAATATTAGTTTTTATTGTACTTATGAGCAAATAAATGCAGCCTTGATCAGCATGAGAGAGTTCGTTCAAAAACATTTAAAAAAAAAAAATCTGAATTATTCCAAACTTTTGACCAGAACTTTATATCTTCAGAAGGACAATTGTTTTTTTATTATTATTATTTAATGCAATGCAATGCAATATTGCCCAGCCCTAAACCAGAATCATTTGTACGCTAAGTGCAAATCAGTCTGATCTGTATTGCCTATTTATTATGTTTAATGCATTTAGACCAGGTTAGAGAATAACATCTGTTCATCTTTAGCGCGTGGGAACACCACTGTGTGTGGAGAGTACAACTTTGCAGCTGATCCTGAAGCAGCATATATTGTTCTGAATGAATTTATTTGCCCAGTTTACATTGCAACCTGGGAGTTCACGTGTCGCAGTAAAATACCCTGGGTGAGATTTGCATTTCTTAAACATTATTAGAATGTATAGAGATGATTATGTATTATGTAAATACAACTGTTGGTGGTTTATACATTCCTGAATATGCAGCCATATCGATGTTATATTATACAATATCTGCACACGTCTGTTTCAGGAGTTCTGTGATGGTTGGCTGGCTCAGGACACAGATAAAGCTCGGTTTATGAAGCAGATCTTTAAGAATAGCATGGAGTGCACCTACAGCGAGAGGATTGAGAAGGAGCTGGTGGATGGGCAGGGATTCGTCTCCTGTGATTCTTATGCCATGGCAGCAGCCATAGACGAGACATATATCATTGAAACTGAACACAAAGCCGTCACTGTAGAGCTGGCGGGGAACTGCTGCCGGGGAATGATGGTTGTAGATCACCTCGATATCCTGAAGAAGACTCACGAAGCCCACATCTTGAAGAAGGTGGACTTGGAGAGGTTTAAAGTGCTCATGATGAATGCTTTGAAATAAATGATCATTAGTATCCATGTCTGGAATTATCTTACGATATTTTTTATAAACATCTTTGTGGAAATTTTTTTTTTGCTACTGGCTACTTCATCAGATTTCACTTTTTTACAAAATCATAAAACCATTCACACAGAAATAACAGTCAGCTGTTGAATGAGATAAATTACATTTTGATTAAAAAAAAAAAACTACTAATGTTTTGAATATTGTTATCTTTTGTGGATCCAGTGATTTTATGAGTGAACATTCAGAACTGGAAATCGGTTTTATTTTATGATTTATTTTGTTGATGAGTCAACTATTTTTCACTAGACAAGTTTGCTTAAAAAGCATTATATTTACACATTTGAGAGCATGTCTTGGCATTTTGATACAAAACATGTTATTCACGTTGAAGGTGTTATTCAGTATCCCTTTCGGCCTCGGAATCGAGATCTGGTGTCCAGCTATAATAAAAGAAAAATGAAAGCGCTTTTATTATACAGTGAAGGTATTCTGACGTGTTAGCATGTGCACTTGGCTGTAGTTGGTTTAAAACAGAGCTATAAAATTTATGAAATAAAATAAGACTAAATTAGACTCAAGGCAGTAGCACACAGGTACAAATTACTGATTAAAAGTTAACTGAAAAAACATATACAAAAAAAAAAAACACTGAATCATACTTAATTTAAGATAGTTGCCAAGGCACCATTTCTAATTTTCATTTAGTTTAACTTAAAGGCAGGGTATGTGATTTTTCAAAAACACTTTTAAAAACTGATTCGGGCCGAATAGCAAAACAAACTTGTAGCCAATCAGCAATAAGGGGCGTGTCTACTCGTGATGTGGAGGAGAGAGCTTTCAGTGCATGGGACGGACATTAGCCGAGCGACAGAAAGATAGAGATGGTGGATAAAAAACAAAAGAGGAAAACATCTGCGGAACGATAAGGCAAGAAGTAGGACCCGTGTAAATATCGGATCAGCTTTCCAGCGCTGGAGAGAACACAAGGAGCGGAGGCCTGCGATCGGACACCGAGGTTGCTTTGTTTCTTCTCAATAGGCGAGTAACACCGTGTCTACAACAGCTAAAGTCTGCCTACACTGGACGCGATCAAACAACATTGTCAGCACGTCATAAATAGAACCCGGCAGCAGCTTTCTGTCGGGGATTTGTTGCGCCGAGCCGCTCACGTCCGTAGACACGGTGTAACATTGGTTTTGCTTTGTTTCACAGAACCAATCGTTGCCTGGGTTGCGTACGTATATATGTGGGGCGGAGCTATCAAAATAGGGGCAAGAACCTTTTGGGGTAGGGGCGTGTTTGTTTTGGTGATTTCAAATATAAACATTGGCTACCAGAAATCACTTACTCTGCCTTTAATGAAAATGAATGTGAACTCACACACATTACCAGCATGCAGGAAATAAAGCACACAATTTTAACTCTTGGGTGCAAAATTAGCTGGAAGGCAACCATATGTTTTCTGACACTGGTAATTAATCTGTGCATTATTATTATTATTATTTTTAAATGAAGGCATTTCTTATTTTCTTTTAGTTACATATTTCAGAAAATAGAGAGGGGGAGTATGAGGGACCATAACATAACCATATATGGCAAAAGACAAACACAGGCCAGGAATTTATGATACAGTTAAAATAAGAAAAGGAAGAGCAGAGGATTTCAAATCTTTCATATTAAAACACTGTATAACAATGTAAAAAAACTGACTTATTTTGAGATGGCATGATGTACAGTACATCATGGGAAAAAAATGGAAGCTTGACACGCAAGTTCTGGATCTTTTCCAAAACGCTTT